CTGCTCGCGTTCTCGAGACGGGCGAGCCTCTCAAGGACGTCCTGAACAAGCACAAGGACATTCTTTTGGGGAAGAAGGTTATTGATCATTTCGACGCTCAATTGCCGTTTCTACCAAAGGTACGAGGTGTTCCCCCCCCTTGGAATGGACCTTGACGCGTAACCCGCACACACACACACGCCGTCATAGGCGCTAGCTTCATCGACTTAACAATGTTGTAGATCCTCTCCATTGACAAGGCGCTGCCACTCCAGCTCCACCCCAATAAAGAGCTCGCCGCAAAGCTTCACAAGCAGGACCCCGACACCTTCACCGATCCCAACCACAAACCCGAAATTGCCGTCGCATTATCAAAATTCGAGGTGTTTGCGGGATTCAAGCCCCTGCCGGAGATTGAGCCACTCTTCAAGCTGCCAGCGCTGCGACCGTTTCAACCGCGTCACTCATCGACGTGGACGGACGAGACACTCAGAGAAGTCACGCGTTCCCTGCTGAAAGCGGACGAGAAAACAGTCGAGAGTGTTCAGGACAACCTCTTGCAGACATCGAGCTCAGATCTGGGCAGTGCGGCGTATATTCTAGATCTTCTTCCACGCCTACAGGAGCAGTATGGCACCAAGGATCCGGGGTCGTTGGTTGCTCTTGCCTGCATGAACTTCTTCACTTTCGGACCTGGAGATGCGATATATATCCCTGCCGATGGCATTCATGCCTACCTGTCCGGGAACATTGTCGAGTGCATGGCTCGGAGCAACAATGTCCTGAACACCGGCTTCTGTCCGCCTGCCGATAGGAACAATATTGATCTATTTACAAACACGCTAACCTTCAAATCGCATAGCAAACAAGATGTTTATTTGCCGAGCGAGAAATTTCAACGCAGCAAGACAGGCAAGACAGAGGTATACAAGCCGCCCATGAGCGAGTTTAACCTGCTGAAAGCCGGCTTACGGGCTGGAGAAAGCGATGACATTCTGGCCGGCGACGGGCCTGGTGTAATGATTGTCACGCAAGGCACCGGCATAATGCATGCTGACGGGGAAAAATTCCAGCTCAAGGAAGGATTCATATTCTACGTGGCTCCCGGTGTAGGTGTACAATGGACGACAGAGTCTGGTATGCAGATTTTCATGGCGATCGTGTAAGCTTAACCATGAAACATCGTGGCGTAGATAGAAGCCTACAAGATTTCATAAGGAGGAGATGGCTCTAGCTCGCCCTCACGCACCAGGGTGAGGATATCTTGGCTAAGACTGCTTGCTATAGCATACTACAGACCAGCAGCTCTCTCAAGGCAATGTGCACAGGACTTAGGGCCGGAGAACAACTGACCGCAATGCATTTCCGTATCGCTCGGCAGCTTCAAACGCCCGACTAAAGTCATCCAAGGCAAATCGCCCTATGATCCTCTGACCAGCATCTTTGCCTAGCTTCAACAGACCCGACTCTGCAAGTCTGATCAGAGGTTGGAAATCTTCTGGCTGGTACATGTATTGGCCACGAATGGTCAAGCTCTTCCACATTACTGTCGAATACGGTATTGGAACGTCATCCTTGATAACCCCCATCAATGCGACTCGTCCGTGTTTCCTCACAGCTTCAAAGCATGCTCGTAAGTGCTGGGCTCCTGATGCTGCAGGAGGGGAAAAATCCAGATAAACATCTACTGGCCCAGCGTCCCTTAATATAGCAGCCACATCATCGTCGGTCCCCTTGAGGTGCACGGTGGTAACCCGGCCGTGTTTTGCTTTCAACTCATCAAGCACTTCCTGCCGACGGCCGACTGCCACCACTGTGGCACCCATAGCCACAGCAACTCCGACGGCAGCTCCGCTAAAACGGCCAGTGGCAGGTGCGATCAATATGGTCTCGCCAGGTTGTAGATTGCTCGCTCTTAGCCCACCATACGGCACGGCCGCGACTGTTAAATGCAGAAGGTCCTCGAGAGAGTAGCCGAGCCGATTGCAAAGTACATCTTCATTGAGCGGCCAGCAATTCTCAAGTGGTGCGAGTGCAAACTCCGCCATGCAGCCATGACGCCAATTATCGGCGGCGAGCTTCTGCGAGGCTTTCGTAGACCCTCCATAAGCTCCCCAGATAAACTGCACGTTTGGATCGTCACGAGCACGCACATTGGGTTCTAGAAGTACAAGGCCTCCAACCGTCATAGACGTAGAATCTGGACCAAGGGCTGCGATGCGGCCGATTGCCCGTGTGCCAGGCACCATGGGAATTGGAAAAGAAAATGAGGGTGCTTTTCCGGAGAGAATGGTGAGGATGCTGGCATCGACCCAGGTATAGAGGATCTTGACTACGACACCGCCAGCGCATGGTCGTGGAGTTGCTATCGTCCTGACGTGAAGAGTGTGACCAGCTTCTTCGAGAATGACTGCACTCATCGTCTCTGGAACGTCTGGCATGGTGGAGACTGACTTCGAGTGTGTTACGGGACTAGTTGTTAAGTCCTGAATGTAAGCTTCACAATGAAGGTTACGAAGATGATGTGAATGGTGGTTTCTTTTCGGGACATCGTATCGACGAACGATCTTTAACGAGGCTTGACCAGATCAACAATTCATGAAATCCGACGGCGACAGAAGTCTGAGATGAAGTGCGATTATTTGCCTCAGGCTTGAGCGGCATTATTCTTCCGAAATCTCTCTACCCAATAGCTTTATTGTCTGTCAACTAATATCTTTCCATCAAATTACATTCCAATGTTCTTAAAAGGGATATTTTAAATGAAGGGTATTAAATCCCAACTCAATTAGCGGACATCAGCTCTATTTCTTGAACACTTTACAACCTGCGTCACGAAAAGACTTCTCACTAATTTGTGTGAGATACCTGAGTTTGGTTCTCAAATGCTTAAAAGTCGCCGTCGTCATTTAGTCGACC